TATTATTATTATTTTTGATGTAATTGAAAACCCCATCCCTGCAGCACCAACCAGAGGTTGGGAATCACAGAACGTGAGGGCCAGGACTGCTATAATTCTGTGCGTCTCAGATGGTCAATTGGTGCATATTCAGCATTTAGAACATGCAAAAGAGGTTTGGGATACGCTGTGTACAACGCATCAGAGAGATGCCGGTTCTTCAGCGTTGCTGTATTTTGAGAAGTTGACCAATCTGAGATTAGCGCCTGATGGAGAAGTTCAAGCGCACCTGACAGAAATGAAGTTTCTGCGTCAACAGATGGTGGAACGCAATTTCCGTCTACAGGAGGAAGTGTTTTGCTTCATGATGATAAACAGCCTTAACCGGACTTACAAGGTTGTTGCCAGTCAGCTTGGTTCCCTACCGGCTCAAGACCTGACTGCGGAGAGAGTGTGTGCGGTCGTTCTGAATGAACACGACAGACTTGCTGCACTGGAAGTGAAGGACAGGGGGAGGCAAGAACAGAGTTCAAATCTTCCCACTGCTGATGCTACTGGAGAGCATGCTGTAGCATTGAGCGCTGTCCGATGTTACAATTGTGGACAGACTGGGCATCTACAGCGGAACTGTAGAAAGCCGCGACAGTCAAGAGGAGCAAAGAGCAGCTCTACGAAGCCTGAGGCGTCAGGCAAAAGCCGTACCAACTGCCAGGTGAAACCTGCAAAGGTGATGATGGTGAAAGGAACCAAGCCAGATGTTGGGAACTCGTTCATAATCGACACGGGATGTACAAAACATATGTGTCCGCACCGAGAACTGTTTTCGACGTTGAAGAAGCAAAGCTTCACTGTGAAACAAGCCAACGGTCAAGAGCTGGAAGCGACCGGGATTGGGACTGTGTATCTTGAGAGTCTGAACTTGACTATAAGCGATGTTTACCTGGTTCCAAAACTGAGATTTAATCTGCTGAGTGTGTCGCAGATTGCGAAGAAAGGACTAAAACTGTCCTATGATGCTAAAAGATGCAAGATCTACAAAGATGGAGAACTGTTTCTTACTGCCAAAGAGAAAGATGGACTGTATTTGTTGACTTTTGATCAAAGTGATTACATGAAATGTAATACTTCTGATTCTAACGAAATTTCTCTTGCAGGTCTGACCAACAAGGACACCAAGAAGGTGGCCAAGAAGGTCGACAGAGCATTTCAGCGAGTGTATGCTCATGTGATTGGTCCTCTAGAACCATCTAGGGGCGGTGCAAAATATTACTTTGTGTGTGTGGATTGTTTCACAAATTATTCTTGGGTTTTTATGATGGAGAAACCACAAGAGACCTTAGAAAGGTTTCAGGAGTTTTGTGACAAGGTTAAAAATATGCATGATGCTAACATTGATTGTCTTTTCACAGATGACAAACAGGTTTTTCTGTTACAGAAGTTTCAGAAGTTCCTGGATGGAAAAGGGATAGACCACAAAGTTGCAGTTTCAGCTGAAGCGTGGAACAGGGGGGTCTGTGTAAAAGTGAACAAAGAATTGCAAAAGGGGATGCATGCACAATTGCTGAGTTCACATTTACCACATGAATATTGGGCCGAGTCGCTAGCGTCCTATCTTCACGTGTGGTTGAGAAAGGTCTCAACAGAGTTGGGATGTTCTCCTTTTGAGAAGCTGTTCAATAGAAAACCTTCTGTTGCCTATTTTAAGGTTTTCGGGTCTCATGTGAGAACAGAAGCTCCAGGTGGAGTGAGGAATGCCAGAGGCATTTTTGTGGGTTATGAAAAAGGTCTCTATAGAGTAATTTTGTCTGAATCTGGTCAGGTGATTCTCACAAAGTTTCTAGAAAGTGCTCCAGAAAGAGAGCGGGTTGTAGAACAAACATTTCCCACAGAGAGTGATTCAGATGATGATGATTTTTCTGATGTCACAGATTACAGTGGTACTGACGATGACAGTGATAGCTCAGAGAGTTCAATTGTAACAGTCATTGAGAGGAAATCTCACACAATGGATAGACCTTCACAGGTGAAGGAAGAACCACTGTTTGTCAATGCTACTGGTTCTCAACAAAGTTCAGAGGTTGAACCAGTGAGCACAGATGATCAGCACCTCACACATAGGTCTGAGAGAGCTACAAAGGGTGTACCACCAAAGAGGTACTCAAAAGAGTTTGCTAACTTAGCTGTTGCATGTGTTGCTATTGTTAACAACTCAAAGCAGGTTGAAGCAGTGTCTAAGTCAGAGACAAAGACACAACAGAGAGTTGCTAGCCAAGGTAATGCAGATGCACTCATTCCTTGGAAGCCAGACAACCAGAGAGGTACACTGGTGAAACCAGTGGTGGGGAGTTCCAAGGGTGGAACTGAAACAACAGGGAACTGTTATATGTATAACAACTGTTTGTTTTCTTCTCTGGATCATGTTTTGCCTATTGATGCTTTTGGGGGAGGTTGTTGGATAAAAGTAGCAATGCAAAAGCCAGCTGCAAGTGGCTTTTATGCAAAACAGGATGTTATTGTCTGGAGATGTACTGCTGGGAAAAAGGGGCAGTCCATTCAGTGTACTGAGCACCGGATGTTAGCTCAGTGTATCATGTGACCTGTACTGGAAGTACAGAGGTGTGGTCTTCTTCTAGAGACTGGAGTGTACAGACATGTTTTTCTCTGTACTGCTGGGATGACAGAAATAAAAGATGTAAATAGATTTCTGTCTGTCTCTTTCCCCCTCCCTGAGGGTAGCAGGGAGGAGGAGGGTGTGTCCCTCTCACGTTGAGTGGGATCGCTGATTTGTGACCTTGCCTGGATCCTGCCGGGGGAAGCAGACGGGAAGGTCATCCAGGATCTCGAGCCGAATGCCTGGTGTGAGGCCAGTTCCCTCTGACTGACGGCTGAGAATCCTAACAAATGTAACCAAATTGTAACAAATATAACCAGCAGAGACAACAGAAACAAAGTTCTCTTTTTCCGTCTTGACAGCTAATTTGACAGCTGTCAAACTCTTCAATACCTCTTCAACAGGCTCTCTTGCGGATCACTCCCGGGTCCGGGGGGGGTGGCACTTCAGCTCCCAAAATTAGCTCTTATCCTCCAGTAAAATTACTTATACTGCCAAATCGTGAAATTAATGTCTTTTACCCAATAAACAAGAAAAAATTATCTCGACCTTAGTTAGCTGGTCCTTGCTTTAGATTATTTACAAGACGGGGAGACGGACTTCCTGTTTGCGCCTTCCCCGATCGTGCCAAATTCAAAAAATAATAATTTTTCTTTGCAAATCCAATTTCCATACTACTCACGGGTTGTTGCTTTTAAAGTCCAATTGTTCACAAGAAGAAGTCAGTGCTCTCCGACCATGGCATGTGGCTTCACTCCGCAGGAGAAGCAGTCGACTCTCAGCACCGCGCCGCTCGCCCCGTCCCCCATTCCGAAGCCTTTAAAAAAGCTCCTTCACGGGTCGGGGGGGCGCAAATGGTGCCCGCCAAGTCACCAAGTTCACAGGCTTTACCGCCTGTGATTTCTGAGGGTCGCCGCAGCGGCAAGACCCAAATCCTGCGGAGCCGATTCCCTCCGGAGCTCGGAGGGAATCCGCCATAAGCCGATGGCGCTAACCCGGAAGTAGTTGTTGACTTTTTAAGGAAAGGTTCTCCCTTTTTTTTAGGGAGCTGACACCACACTTACACATTATCTCTGGGAAAGGAAAACAGGAAACAAACTTTTTTAGTTGCTCATTAACAATGCACATTTATACAATACCTCCACGTCCCCCCCAGTTTTCTTAAGACAAATTATCTTATTGTATAACACCTTGTTTTTAGCAATGTTGACTTCTTTTTAAATTCAGATCTTTTTTTAAAAAAACCAAACACTAAATGACTGCAAAAATTAAAAACCATCCAAGAGGCTCACAGCAGAGCCAGAAATTATAGATAAAGCCTAACTCTGGCAACAGACAGGAAGGGGTCCCCCCCCGTAACCTGGTGTGTGTGTGTTCATGTATGCATGTGTAAAAGAGAAAGAAATCTATAAGCAAGTGATGCTATGCAGCAAGAACTAGCTAATGTGATCTGCACAGAAAACAACAGAATTAGGAAGCATAATTGTTTTAAACAAAAGCAAAAGATCCAGAAGGAATTGTCAGCTGGTATAGCAGTGCAACACTTCAGGCCATTTTTTGGCACAAAGAGGACAGATCAGTGTGACTTTTCCATTCTATGCACTAGCAGGGCTTTTGTTGCTCTGATGGTGTTAAGTGCTCTGATGGTGTTTCCTGCTGGGCAGGGGGTTGGACTCGATGGCCATTGTGGTCTCTTCCAACTCTATGATTCTATGATTCTATTATCTCTTCTGTCACTTCTATGATGTCAATTTCCCCTTTTCTTATACCGCTCCTCTCCTGCATTCCTGCAGGCTGAGAGGCTTGGAAACTGGCCCAGACAAGCTATTGTCTGATAACTCCTGTATTTCTCTGGGCTGTGACCTCCCCCCTGTACTTTCCTCTGTGTTTCCCATAACAATCCTCCCTTTGTCCCCTGGGCAGCCATTCAAGCCTGGCAGCTGCTGTTGCTCGCTTGTTGGCTCCAGCCTGACAAATACAGATAACTGAACAAACTTTGTTGCATTACATTCTTGATTAAATTATCTTTCCATTGATAAATAATTTCACAATATTATTAATAATACTTTTATTGTCATTGTACAACCTGTGTACAATGAAATTAAACGAGCCTCCCTCCCAAAGAAGTGGTGTTATGAGCCACCAAACCTCTGAAATACACCTTCCCTCAAAAGGCTTCCACAATTTTGGCCACTACAGTATATCAAACAAAACAACATTCAACAACCGTCAGAATCTAATAATAAATATGTTGGTTAATGACAAACCACAAAAGTAACGAACACACACCCAACTTCCTTCAGTTCTTCTTCATTTGTTCCTGAGGCTCAAATCTCTTTTTGCCTCCATTGCAGATTGTGATGAATTGCAGATCGAGAACAAGCATGAACACGACAAAATCCCCAGAGAGGAGAAGCCACGTAAGAATTTGGAATGTGGAGAGAGCTCCCATTCCAGTTCCCAACAAAGAAATCTCAATGGAAAGAAACACTATCAGTGCATGGAATGTGGAAAGAGCTTCAGTCAGAACTCCTCTCTCACTTCCCATCAAAGAATTCATACAGGGGAGAAACCCTATCAGTGTGTGGAATGCGGAAAGAGCTTCAGTCAGAGCTCTAATCTCACTTCCCATCAAAGAACCCATACAGGGGAGAAACCCTATCAGTGCATTGAATGTGGAAAGAGCTTCAGTATGAAGGCCTCTCTCACTTCCCATCAAAGAATTCATACAGGGGAGAAACCCTATCAGTGCATGGAATGTGGAAAGAGCTTCAGTCAGAGCTCTGATCTCAATTCCCATCAAAAAACTCATACTGGGGAGAAACCCTTTCAGTGCATGGAATGTGGAAAGAGCTACAGGAAGAGCTCCCATCTCACTTCTCATCAAAGACTTCATACAGGGGAGAAACCCTATCAGTGTGCAGAATGTGGAAAGAGCTTCAGTCACAGCCAAAGCCTCAATTCCCATCAAAGAATTCATACAGGGGAGAAACCCTATCAGTGTGTGGAATGTGGAAAGAGCTTCAGTCACAGCCACTATCTCACTTCCCATCAAAGAATTCATACAGGAGAGAAACCTTATGAGTGCATGGAATGTGGAAAGAGCTTCAGTCGGAATGACTATCTCACTTCCCATCAAAGAATTCATACAGGCGAGAAACCATATCAGTGCATGGAATGTGGAAAGAGCTTCACTCAGAGCTCTGATCTCAATTCCCATAAAAAAATTCATACAGGCGAGAAACCATATCAGTGCATGGAATGTGGAAAGAGCTTCAGTATGAAGGCCTCTCTCACTTCCCATCAGAGAATTCATACAGGGGAGAAACCATATCCGTGCTTTGAATGTGGAAAGAGCTTCAGTCAGAGCTCCCATCTCACTTCCCATCAAAGAATTCATACAGGGGAAAAACCCTATCAGTGCATGGAATGTGGAAAGAGCTTCAGTCAGAGCTCTGATCTTACTTCCCATCAAAGAATTCATACAGGGGAGAAACCCTATCAGTGTGCAGAATGTGGAAAGAGCTTCAGTCACAGCCACTATCTCACTTCCCATCAAAGAACCCATACAGGGGAGAAACCCTATCAGTGCATTGAATGTGGAAAGAGCTTTACTCAGAGCTACTCTCTCACTTGCCATCAAAGAGTTCATATTGGGGAGACATCCTTCATTATGTAGCTTTAGGAGACAAGGAAATCTGCACTTTTTAAAAATGTGGTGAGAAGAGGGTTACATATGTGTATTTTTTGTTTTTATATTGTGTTTTTGTTTTATGTTGTAACCGTCCTGACATGTGGCAACAGGAGTCAATCTTTAGAGGCTGAGGGTTTTTTGCCCCCACCCCAATAAAACATTTGAGGGGGCCACCACCCAAGTTAGTAGGCATTGCCATTCCAATGGCCTGCATGCATCATGTGTTTGATTGTGCAAGGCAGACCTTACCTGACCCACCACCAATATTATATTCAAGTCAGCACCACTGGGTCAAGTGGTATGCAAATTAAATAAAGACATAAATCATCCTCCTTTGCACATGTTCCAGCTTGTCAATATCCTTATTTATAATCATTCTTAAAATTTATGTGCGTCTGAAGATTTTACAATATAAACATACAGGATGAAAACATGGATTTCTCAAAAACAAGTCCAGCCAGAGAAATCTCTCCTCCCCTTTGTTGGATGGAGTTACAAACTTTGTTGATCAGGGGAGAGCTGTGGAAATAGTGCATCTTGATTTCAGTAAGGCTTTTGACAAAGTCCCCCATGATCTTTCTGTGAGAAAGCTGGTAAAATGTGGGTTGAATGAGGAAACTGTTAGGTGGATTTGACTGACCGAACCCCAAGAGGACTCCTTCATGGTTCCTCATCATCCTGGAGAAAAGTGACAAGAGGGGTGCTTCAGGGTTCTGTCCTGGGCCCGTTGTTGTTCAACGTCTTTATAAATGACTTGGATGAAGGAACTGAGGGGATGCTCATCACATTTGCAGACGACACCAAACGGGGAGCACAGGCCAATGTGGCAGAAGGCAGAATCAGATCAAGAGCAGGAATAGTACCACTTTATTCTGCCTTGGTCAGACTCCACCTTGAATACTGTGTTCAATTCTGGGCACCACAAGTTAAGTATCTTAAATATTGGTTGCCTGGAGAAATCAAGAAGGTGGGGGAACACAATCTGTATTCCTTTTATAACATGTGGCCAATGTTTATTGAATACATGTATTGTTAAGACTGTTGTAGGAATCCACCCAGCACTCAGTAATTTTTAATAAACATTAAATGTGGGACGTGTAAGCACTAACCCCCACCCCACCCCGATCTCTCAGAGTGAAAATACCTCTGTGGGCGAGATCGGCTAATAGGATAGCTTGAAGAACTGGGTCAATCACTAGCCCTGTATATATAGAGAGAGAACCATTGTGTATATATATGGATAATCAGTTGTGACGGCAGTGAGACACACAAGAGTGCAGTTCATTTATAAAGTTGGTTTTATTCCAAGAAAAGAACAGATTACCAGGAGCTCTTCTCCCGTGAGCTGGTTGCCATTACGATGATGACTCAACTAAGTTCTCAGTGTCACGTTTCATCCTACAAATGCAACGTGGGAGGAACCTTCTCTTCGTATGCAGGGACTAATCGCGTCCTCTTTCCTGTAACCCCCCTTCCCTCTTGAATACTCAAAGGCTGGCCAGCCATGTCTGAGAGGCTATCTGTGGAGTTTGGCCTTTCACCTACATTCTGGGAGAGTGTTTCCCTGATACACCCCCTTCCTTTTGCTCTGGGCCATCTTCCAACCCTGGCAGCTGCTTGGACTCTGACAGAGGTGTTGAAAACAAATGAAATTAGACAGAAGTGGGAATTTCCTGAAGGTATTTCCTTCACCTACAAAGATAGAAGAAAGATAGAAGAAAGACTTTTAGATCCCCAGAATTCGGAAAATTTTGGCGAAAATACAAAATATACAAAATAGGCTTGGGAGGGGGTACATCTCAAGAAAGTGAACAAGGACAGGAAAGTCCAGGAGGATAAGAAAAGAAGCAGAGTTTCCCCCAACTATATTATTGTACTTAATTGCAGTTCCGTATTTGATGTTGATATTTGATGTTGATATTTGACTTTGTGTCTAATAAAGATTAATGAATTTGAACATTATATCATGGAACATCAAAGGTTTGAACAATAAGGTAAAAAGGAATAAAAGTGCGCGAATCTTAAAAAAGAAAAATTGGGACATCATTGGTCTCCATGAAACACATATAGCTAAGAAACATGACAGAGTTTTGATAGATAAGAAATTAGGAACAGAATACATAGCTTCAGATGTTTCCAAAAAGAGAGGAATAGTTATATATATATATATATATATAAACCAAAAGAGATGCAAAAATACCACTTAAAGATGATGAAGGAAGAATACTAGGAATACAATTGACAAAAGGCAGAGAAGAAATAATTTTGGTGGGGGTATACGCACCAAGTGGAAATAAAACAAACTTCTTCAAAAACAACCTTGAAGATATTAGAATACAGTAATGATCATCATGGGAGACTTCAACAGAGTAACATCCCTGGCTCTAGATAGAACGGAGAGAGACGTAACATCAAGAAAATGGAAGTTCCCAATAACATTTAATCAATTGGTAGAAGATCTGAACTTAAAAGATGCTTGGAGAGAGAAACAGAGAAGGGACAGACAATATACCTTCTATGCTTATGCTAAAAAATCAGATGCAATCCAGACTTCAAATAATCTAATACCTTTTCGAAGAAAAGTTGAGATCCTCCCGAAAATGACATCAGACCATAATCTGGTAATGATGGAACTAAAATATAATAAAATTAAAAACAGAAGTTGGAGGTTGAATGGAAGATTATTAAATGATGAGAAAATATTAGAGATAACCGGATAGTCCTAGAAAGAACAGAGATCTTAGATTTGGAAAGCTACAATAATAGGTTTGGATGACACACCTATTTAGGTTACAATAAGAGCAAAGCCCATACAGATTTCAACAACCATATTATAAGAAATGCCTTGTATAAAGTTTGGATAAAACGCCAGCCGCTCTTGGAACCATTGACACCCTGGCAGCTGTCCCTGCTTGAAGCCCATGCGGTGAAAATTTATAATATACAAATATTAAAAAACGACCAAGGGAGAGTCATACTGGTACAGGTTGCGGTGCAAGGCTAAACAAATTTATTGATAGGAATTTATGCTCCAAATGAAAAATAAATCAGAATTTTATAAAAAGTTGGAGAATGATTTAACGGAATTTGCAGATCTAGAAATGATTTTGATGGGTGATCTGAACAGAGTGATGTCATTGGAAATGGACAGAACAATTCGGAAAAAGGATACTAAGGAGGGCAGACTTCCAAAAACTTTCTTTGAATTGGTTGACAATTTCAATTTGATAGATATTTGGAGAACCAAACATTGGTTAGATAGAGAATTTACATTCATTCTGATGTATACGAAAGCAGTTCAAGAATCCGTACGATATGGGTGTCTAAAGAATTAGAATTGAAGGTAAGAAAAATACAAATACAGTGGTACCTCAGGTTAAGTACTTGATTCATTCCTGAGGTCCGTTCTTAACCTGAAACTGTTCTTAACCTGAAGCACCGCTTTAGCTAATGGGGCCTCCTGCTGCTGCCGCGCCACCGGAGCACGATTTCTGTTCTCATCCTGAAGCAAAGTTCTTAACCTGAAGCACTGTTTCTGGGTTAGCGGAATCTGTAACCTGAAGCGTATGTAACCTGAAGCGTATGTAACCCGAGGTACCACTGTATTGCCAAGAACAATATCAGACCATAACCCTGTTTTTTTAGAAATGCAAAATGAAAATCAGTCTATGGAATACACTGGGATCTCCTTCTGCCCTTCTTTGATAGGGCTTGTGTACATCCATCTCCTTCCTCTGGGGGGCCACTGAGGTTTGCAAACTGGTGGTTCGGGGGGGGGCAAGCACAAAGGATTGCATCATCTCTCTCTGCTTGGCTCAGAGCCAGCTGCCCCCCAACTTCTGCTGGGTGTTAATGATCGCTGCAGCAGGAGCCGAGTGCCTGGCATGGATGAGGCCTCATTCTGGCCTTCTGCTCCACTGAGCAAATGTGACAAAGGTCGGGGCTCCTTGGGGGGGGGGCATAGAATTTCCCCAGAATCACAGACTCATCAGAGGGTTGCCCCACTGGCCTAGACTGGAGCCACTCTGGCCCTCATCCAGCAGGCTTGGGCATGACCCTGCTGACTCATGCAGAGGTGGCCGCCTTCAACGGGACATTCTGGGATCCAGACAGAAGCTGGGATCGGCTGCTGGGATCCAGCCTGTCCCACTTTGAACAGGACAGTCGTGGGCTATCCATTCTGGCCCTCTGCTCCCCTGAGCAAATGCAATAGAAGCCGAGGCTTCAGGAGGTCCCCATATGGTGTGTCTTGTTCTGTTGAACCAATCACGCAACATTCATTCCCTACTAATAAATCTACAACACTTAAAATATAAATCCGGGGACATTAAATGAAATCCTGGGACATTCCAGGGACAGATTTTGTCCGGGGACAGATGCTTGAATCTGGGGACTGTCCCCGGGAAACGGGGACGTCTGTTAACCACACTCTAGACCAACCCCCTCCGTTGCACGAATCTCAGCTCTGAATGTGCCTTGGGGGCCCTGGGCTGGGTTTCCCCAGCTACTCTGGGCAGCTCCCAAACAGAATAAAACATTCAAAACTTCCCTCAACAGGGCTGCCTTCAGATGTCTTCTAAACATCAGATAGTTGTTTTGACATCTGATGGGAGGGTGTTCCACAGGGTGGGTGCCCCTACCAAGAAGACCCTCTGCCTGGTTCTCTATAACTTTGCTTCTCGCATTGAGGTAACTGCCAGAAGGCCCTCAGAGCAGGACCTCAGTGTCCGGGCTGAACGATGGGGGTGGAGACGCTCCTTCAGGTATACTGGGCCGTTGAGGGCTTTAAAGGTCAGTACCAATACTTTGAATTGTGCTTGGAAACGTCCTGGGAGCCAATGTAGGTCTTTCAGGACTGGCGTTATATGGTCCTGGCATCCGCTCCCAGTCACCAGTCTAGCTGCTGGATTCTGGATTAGTTGTAGTTTCTGGGTCACCTTCCAAGGTAGCCC